ACCGTCTGCCCTCGCTCGACACGTCTGCCTACTGACCCGCCGATGTATACCGCGAGCATGAGCGGGCTGCCCACGTGGGAGGCGTTGCGGTGATGGATCGCGGTCTGCCTCGCTCTCCGCCTCCACCGCACAACATTCCTGTCCTTCATCCCGCCTCCATCCTCAGTCCTCTCCCTCCCCACACCTGCCGCCATGCTGCCGGCGCTGCTGCTCTCCCCGACGCTCCTTCTCCCCCTCCTCGCCGTCCTTGGCCCCGCCCCGGCGCGGGCGGGCGATGTGCAGTTCGGCGGAGGGTGCAACCCGGACCACCAGAAGCTGCAGGAGGGCACGTTCCAGTTCCAGACGGACTGCGACGCCATGACGTTCTGCTTCAGCGGCAACTCGACGTGCGCCCACCGCGGCTGCCGCCAGGACGAGTTTCCGTTCGGGTACTCGAAGACCGAGAAGCTCCCCGACCGCTGCCCGAAGGGCCAGTTCTGCCCGGACGAGCAGGACCTGTGCCAGCCGCTGCTCGCTGTCGGCAGTGCGTGTCAGTTCAACCGCGATGGTGAGTGTCATGTGCTAGATGTGCGATTGTGGAGGAATGCCGATGTCCGACGTAAGATGAGTGCGAGGGGCCGCCGAACTTCAAGGAGCTCGAGGACACGACTGGGTTCGGACTGAACTCCAACGGATCTGTTTGTCTAAACAACATCTGCATGTACGTCTTCTCTTCGTGATGATCCCTCTCGTCCGTTCTAACCTCACTCTGCAGGTGGGCAAACGTCACCGTCGGCCTCCCTTGTATCGTGCAAAACACCGCCTACACTGCGTACGGCCCTGACGGCGAGTTCATCGACATCGTATCAAGGCAAGTGCTCCCCTCGTTCTGTTGTACTACGGACAAGTCGCTGCATCAATCCCGTCCCACGCCCGCAAATATCCGCGAGTAAACTGGGAACAAGGGACGTACATCGCTACAGCATTCGTCTCAGCGCTACGGGAGACCGCCGTCCGCGCCCGGGTCCCTTGCGATCAATAGCGCGTTCGAGCCCACTGCTCGGCACATCGACTTGTCCGCGCGCTCTCCTTTTGCGACAAAGCTGACCTTTCTGCAGGGGCAACTGCAAAGTGGGGCTCTACTGCGACGCTCAGCAGCTGGTTTGCGTCCAGGGCAAGGCGGTGGGGGACACGTGCGATGCCGACAAGGAGTGTTTGTCGTATAATTGCTTGGCATCCGGTACCTGCGGCGATAGGGCCGACACCCCGCGCGAGGTCGCCAAGTGGGTCTATGTCGTGGTCGCTATTTGCATTTTCGGAGGTACGTGGGCGAGATGCGAAAGGTGGCACGGTGGCTCATAGCAGTCGCTCCAGGTATCATCGGGACTCTCATTGGGCTCTACTTCATTCACCGGAAGGACCGTGACCAGGAGCGCGAGAAGCGTATGCAGTACTGGCGCGAGCAGGTACGGCTGTCCCTTCCCCTCTGATCAGAGCGTACTGCTGACACGTCGGTGCACACAGAACGCCTTCCGTCAAAACATCATGCAGATGCAGGAAACGGCGCGGAATTCGCTGATGAACTTTGACACGCCCGGGACGAGCCCGCGGAGCACGATGTACGGGCGCGACCAGCAGACGGAGGACTCGCAGGCGCCGATGCTGCACCAGGCGAGCAAGTCGAGCGCGCTGCGGTACTACGTCTCCGACGACGGCTCGCAGATCGACGACCGGTCGGACGAGGACCTCATGATGCGCCGCCGCGACCCGCAGCCCCACCAGGGCGACCGGTTCTGATTCAGCTGGCTCCTCCGTCCGTGGTGATCATGCTCTCTTCTAGACACTCCTATTTACGAATGCATAGCGGGCTGCATCGGACTTCATCAGCTACGGCTAGGCTCGGCCCTCGCTTCGTACGCACATTCGCCCCTCCCACGAAACGACGCTCGGACACGCTTCGTGCACCGTGCAATCCTCCCCGCCCTCCCACAACTGTAGCGTACGGTTCAGTAATATGACTGGTGCTACGCCCCTCGCAGTCGTCCCCTCGTTTGTTGGCAGTGTATAGCAATAATATACCACATGCTTGTATATACACCTTTCGACACACCCGCGGTGTCCCGCACGTCGCTGAATATTCCCGCGCACTCCGCGCTCATGACCGAGTCCGAGAGTGGCCCTGGAGACTTCGCGGCAAATACACCGAGTGCACGCACGCAGGGCGCGGCGATGCTCGAGGCATCCCGCCGCGGAAGGTGTGCGCGGCGGGCGGGCGCTCCGGCGGGCGCGATCGTGCACGTAGCGGTGAATATATTTTATTGTGCGGAACGAGCTGTGCGCGCGCGGGAGTGCACGCGGGCGGGCGGATGCGAGCTCACCACCGCGGCGAGAATCAAGGACTCTGGCAGGACGGTGGGGTTCTATGGGACAGGGGGGGTTCTATGGGAGAGGGGGAGGGGGAGGAGAGGGGTGGGCGGCGAAGTCATGGAGAGTAGAGGGCTCAAAATATATTTTGTATCGACTCTACAAGGCTGGGAATCGTGTCGTAGCACGTCCACCGACGAAGGCGCACGGAAACTCGAAAAACGCGTGGTCGAGGGAGTCTCCAAACGGGCGTATGTGCTGATCACCCTCGGGCGCTCGAATCGCCCGCCGCACCGCCGAGAGTTGCACGAGCGCGCCACCAGTGAGATTCACGCCCTCGCGAGAACGGCGACGCGCTGCACAGAGTGTTCGCGCGAGCTCTCCACGCGCAGACTTTGCGGAATCCGATTGCGCGGAATTCGCACCCTCGCGGCGATCGACGCGGTCGCCATTTCACCCCGCGCCTCAGCCCGTGCGCTCCCGAGCCTCGAGTTGTGAGAGCGCGCCAGAGGCGAGAGATACGTCCTCGCGGCGGACAAACGCGTTACTAGTGCGTTTGCGTGGGCTCCCCGCCCGCAGACGTCGCAAAATGCGAGTTCGCGAAATTGGCGCCCTCGCAGCGCTCAACACCGTCGCCATGTCCTTCCTTGCCTCGTCCTCTGCGCTCCGAGTCTCCGCACAGCTTGCGCGCGTCCGCTCGCGCGGTCTGGATCTACGAAAGAACGGTCAGATGTCTCGGGAAGCTTATTGCAGCGGCGCGTACGCACTTGACCGCCTACCTGCAACACGGATTTTCGGTTGTACTCCCCGCCCACCTGGTCTCCCGCCCGGCCGGTGCGCGTTGTCGGAATTCGGTGCATGGACTCCCGCGCGCTGACGTTGCGAAATTCGGGGGCGCGGCATTAGCGCCCTTGCCGCACTTGACACAGGCCCGCTCGCGCGGTCTGGGCCTGCGACATACGAGTCAGACGTCTCCAGAAGATCAATATGGTGACGCGTACTCACTTGACTGCTGGCCGCCGTTCCGGCGCTGCTGGTCCCCTTCCCGCCCGGTGCGTGTGGTCAGAATTCGGTGCGCGGCCGTCTGCAATCGGCGAATCTCGCGATGTACGCGCCAAGTCGATGTTCTTCGCACGCTGCGAGTCTGGACCGCGCCGTTACCCCGTCGCACCTGCGCAAGCGTGCCCACAGCGGCCTGCAAAGCACTAGTAAGTAGATGTATCTGTGATGCATCCGAGTGTGTGTGCGTACCTTCGATAGCCTGTTGAGACACTCCGAGATAGAGATCAGTGAGCTTCCACTCGGCGGCACTCGTTAAGTAGTCCGCGAGCCTCAGAAGCTTGGCGAGCTTCCGGACTGCGGGGGTCCTGATTGCGCCGTCACCGCACTGCGCACACATGAGGGTGCCCACTGCAATCTGAAAAAGCATGAGTGAGTGACGGAATACGTGCTGCATGCGAGCGCGGGAGCGTACCTTCGATGCCATGTAGATAGCAGATACATCTCGGCAGACGAGCTCGGTGAGCTTTGGAACAGCGGCACTCATTGAGTGCTCTGCGAGCCTCTTCGGACGATCGCATAGCCCACTGCGGAACAAACGGCTACTTCAGTGATGTACAAGAAAGTACGCACCTTGTCGACGCGTCGTCGTCGTGATCTCCAAGTGACGAGCTCCCGGGCGGCCGGAGTTCCAGTCGAGCAGCCCAGTGGTATGCGGTGTCGCCCAGGTCGTATGTGGTGCGTCCTAGACGGTCCCAGGTGTCGGGATGCTCCTCCCCGGCGGTGCGTTTCGTGCGCGAGGCCACGGCATGGTGGCGGGAGACAAGAAGAGCATGGCGGTGATTTTGGCGCCCGAGACTCGAAAGTCACTTAGCCCGCCCGCGGCGGCCCTTTGCAATCCTGGCTCTCTCCCGCACCGCCACCATCCCCGCACTCGTCTCCCCTCGCTTCTCCTTTCTTGCTTGGCCCGCGGTCTCGACTCCCTTGTGCAAACAGCCGATTGCCGGCGGCGCGGACTGCGGGAACTCGATACATCAAGGTACGCGCTTAGCGAACACGAGGCTACTCACCTCTCTCGTCAACAGTCGCTGCCAGCACTCCGCCTGCTCGCGCTTTCCCGTCTTCCGCTCACTTCGCCGTTCGCCGGTGCCCTGGTACATCATGAGGATGAGTGAGAATACAGTGGCTGAATACTCACCTTGACAGCCTGGCCACATTGACCAGCAATACCAAGACTGCATTTCACGCCTCCTGATGCGGTGTGCGTTTGACGCGTCTCTGCTGATGCGCCCACGTCGCGTATTCTCGCTATGGTACGTGCCAGTTATGATCTCATGTACGATGCATGTGGGCTCACCTTTTCAGCCCGCCCTCGTCGCGAGCCAATGCCAAAACGGCGTTTGCGCCGTCCTCCTACCGCGGCCGCTCTATGAAACGGCACTTCTTGATGCGGTGTCGTCCTCGCGCTCGCTCGACGCATGCGGCCCCGAGCGAATACGATCGCGTCGAGCGTGAGCACTACACGCGTGCACTCCCTTTGGCAGAGTACCCACGGCGAACTCGAGCGGCGGTGCCCTATGCGCCCCCATCTGCGCCCTCTCTATGCAGTGTGCACGCGAAAGCGGCAGTGTGTGCGCCGCTTACGCCGGCTGATTCGGTGTGCAACTGCGACGGTGAGCGGAGCAGCAAATGACAAACGTGTTTTGGGTTCGCTCACCTCGAGAACACGCCCAGGTCGTCCGCCCACGGGCCACGGCACGGTGACTTTGACCGTGCACTCATGCATTCTGCCGCGATCGCGCCGCACCCGACTCCGTCACATCTCTCTCGTGCCTCTAGGCTCTGTTCTGCTGGTCTTCTGTCTCTCCTCCTGGGAAACCTGCCGCCATACGCTCTGGAACTCACCGACTCCTCGACACCAATCTCAACCCGGCCTCGGTCTCCCATAACTTCCGGATCCGCTGGCGACTGCTCGTACACAGCCATCGTTTCTTCTCGGGACTGCGCCTTGGAATTTTCTGGCTACGCGCTCCTGGAAAAACGGCTGTCAGACAACAAGAGTGCTGCTGCTGCACGTGCGAACACTCACAGGGCTCGAACTCGACCTCGGCTTGGCACCTTCTCTGCTGGAGCTCGCCCGTGTCTGAACACGGTCTGGTGTGCGTTCCGTGTCGCTCGAAATGTCTTGTGTTTGTTCTGCGGGGTGTTAAGGCTGTGTCTCGACCATGACTGTGTTTCTCACCTCGTCCAACTGCACTACTGACATACCTCGCTGACTTGGACTCTGCTGGTTGCTGGTTGGTCCTGTGCTCTGCGACATAACTGGGCTCGCTCCTGTGCGACGGTCTTTGGGGCTCTGGGTGCGTCGCATCGGGCGATGTCGGCGTCGAGGAGATGAGGAGGGGGAGGGACTTGACGGAGACTGCATCGCCGGGAGCGCGTCGCGGCGGGCTGATAAACCGCAGCAAGCGTCGAGGAATGTCAACGGCGGAAGACGCTGAGGGAAAGGTGAGGGAAAGGGAAATCAGGGAGGGGATTCCATGCGTAGGGGGAAGAGGTGGTTGACGGGGAGGAAGAACAGAAGACGGCGGGACGGGCACCGGCCCAGACTTATTATCAAGGTAGTCTCTTTCCCGATTGATCTGTCCTGCGGTGTACGCCATAACGCCAGCTCATATATCACTGTCAGGGTGAGGCCAGCCGTCGGCGTGGCATGGCCTCGATCGGGCAGTCTCAGGGTAGCCGGCCAGAGCGCTTGAATTTCAAGTGTGGTCAATTCCGCGCGGACAGCCTAGAACTTTCGCCTGCGGCCAGTCTAGCATGATTTGGTCAGCGCCATGCAGCCGCATTGCGATTTATTTGCAAGGCGGACAGCAAAACAAGCAAAACGATGCTCGAGCGGAGGTGTCGAAATCGGCTAGACATGCCCAATTTGGCAGGTAGCGTGGTTCAGAGCGCTCGCGCGCGCGGACTTCGCCCGGCCGATCTCTGGCTTCTCCATGACCACTGCGCCCGACTCGCCACCTCCCCGACGTCTTCTACGCTCCCACGTCGATTAGATAGCGGAAATTATACGTAGATACGCTAATCGAGTGCGATTTGGAATCTGTCAATCCGCCTGAACCTGCCATGCCGCCGCTCTCATACCTAATCCGCTCCGGCCGTCTCAGGCTCCCACTCGCTGTCCGACGCGTCCTCGATCGGGTCATCAGAGAGCTCGCCGCCGAACGAGCGTGTCAGCTCGAAATCGGGGTCGGTGATATCGTCGTCCAGCGCGTGCGCCTCCTCCGAACCCTGCTCGCCATCACCGCCGCTGCTCACCTTGTTCGCTCGTTGCAGCACAAATGGCAAGCTCGTGACCCCCGTTGTCTGCCGCTTCTTCCGCACCCGTGTCTCCATGTCCGATGCGCGTGCGCGCCGCTTCTTTGTGTCCTGCCGCTGCTGCGACTGCGCCTTGGGCTCCGGCATGGTCGACGTCGATTGGCGGCCAACCCGTCGCATGTCGCGTGCGCGGAAGACGTCGGACTCGACGGGGAGGGCTTTGGCCTTCGCCTTGGCGGCGGCGGCTCGAGCCTTGAGCTCCGGGAGGTGCTGGGGCGTCGGATGGACACTCTCGGGGTCGCGCGCGGCGTTGGCGTAGTCCTTGCGCGAGGCTGGCTCGAAGCGCAGCTTCTCGGGGTCCCCGTCAGGCAGGTACCGGCGCCGACGGATCTCGCGGAGCGTATCGAGGCCGCCACCGACCGAGCTGAGGTCCGTGAACGGGACATCCTGCGGCCACCCCACAAGCACATGCCCAGTCCCGAGTACAATGTCGGAGGCATAGCACTGCGGAGCGTAGCGCATGCGCTTCTGGTTGCCGTGAGACAGACGGTCTGCATAAAAGGGTCAGTCACGGTGCTGCGCGAGTGTAATGTGTGAGTGTTGCTCACCGATATCCCCATTCAGATTTCCTTGCATCTCCACCTTGATGTCGCCGCCTTCCCAGCCGCGTGGGGCGTCCTTGCGCTTCGAGGGCATGTCGTGGAGAGGAGAGGGGAAGGGGGAGTGAGAGGGAGAGGGAGAGGGCGCACATCCGGTGTGCACAGAGGATTCTTGAGTGCGCAGTAGCGGCCGGCGAAGCAGATGAGTCCAGAGCGTGTTTGCATGGATCAACGAGGCTAATCCTGTTGATGCTCCGCAGGTTGCGCATGCGCGCAGACGTCCATGCGAGTTCGCGGCGGTACGCCCATTTCGCGAAGCGAGTTACTTCGATTTTGCAGGGCCCCCGGGTGATTGTATCTCGATAGCACACCAGCCGTGGCTCCACTGTCTGTTGTGGACGGTGGACAAAAATAGCCTGATCATACTAACGTGAGCGGCGGTCCTACAGCGAGTGAAACAAGATGGAAATACTACCGAACACAGCGGGAGAAGAGATGGGTTGCCGCGGGATGCCTCAGTGCAACTTGGCCGTGTTCCGAGGGCTTGTAAGTGGGTTCGAGGCCATCGGAAGTGCCAGAGATGCGACACAGTGGGCGCACACGAGAGAAGCGAGTCAATGAGCGGTCTGCCACGTGAGTCTTAGATGCGATATGAT